GTCTGATTTCCACAAAGGAGACTTGTACTTCCTACTTTATTAATTTCTGTATTTTAAAAATATTTATAGATTTGTAGCTTCTCTCCACTAGATATACCTATCTACCTATCTATCTATATAGATAGATATATATTTCTATCTATACACATGAAGACTCCTTATGTATACTAGGCTCTTGAGATGTATCAGCTCAATATGCACTAGGAGTTTTGGTATTAAAAATTGTTAAAAATGTAATTGAAGAAATTAGAAACAGAATAGTGGACTTTGGGGATCAAGATATGAGGTAGGTATAGTTACAAAATGCAGCAAGGGGAATCTTTTCTTTCTTTCTTCCTTTTTTTTTTTTTTTTTTTTGCTCTACCAGGGATTGAACTCAGGGGCCTTGCACTTGCCAGGCAAGCCTTTATTCTACTGAGCTATCTCCCTGGCCCAGCAAGGCGAATCTTTGTGCTGATAGAATTGTTCAGGGACTTGGTCACACGAATGTCAACATTCTGGTTGAAACATCATACTGTATTTTTGAAAGATATTTCCATTCAGAGAAACTAGGTAAATTGTTCAGAAGTTCTCCTCATATTATTTCTTAAAATTACTTGTTTGTCTACAATTATATTACAGGAAAAACTTTCAGAGGACACAGTAACATTTTAACTACTCATAGTGGGACTCCATAAATCCATAGCAGTACAAATAAATGAATAAAGGGAAAAAGACAAAGTTTTTTTTTGTTTTGTTTTGTTTTTGTTTTTTTTCTCACAGAAGAATGCTTACTTTGAGGGGAAAAATGAATTGGAAATTGATCACTTGGAAGCCATCAGGATGATTAGTTTGTGCAATAAACATGAGTGGATGCTAAAACTAGCTATTAAAGCTTTGGTTCAAACCAGGATATTTATGTAATCCTTACCTCTCTATGAAGTAGTTTTTATAAAAAATTTAAATAAATTTGTTCACAGGGAATGGCAAGCATTGCCTTAGTCTCAGAACCAAAGTTAACATCTCCAGTAACACAAATCCAGATGAGCTGCTGCATAAGATGCAGTGACAGCCACAACAGGACTTCCATCTTCTTTGTTTTTGGTGCCAAGGATGGAACCCAGGGCTTCCCGTGTGCTAGGCAAGCTTCTGTCGCTGAGCTAAATCCCCAGGCCCCAGTCTTGTTTTATCAAAGATGAAGAATACAAAATAATTTATTTTCAATTTGCAATCTACTAAAAAATTAAAATAAAAAATAATAAAAAAAGCAAAAAAAAGATGAAGAATACAAATGTAACCAAGAAAAAATGACAGAAATGCCAATCTTGAGGGACCTCCCACAATGACCTGAGATCTCTCACTGAAAAGGTCATGAAGGTCAGGAAACGAATGATGGACTGTTCAAGATTAAAGAAAACAACTAAATATAAGCATGATCCTAGACTTGATTCTGTCTTAAAGGATATTACTGGAAAAACTGATGAAACTTGAATGGGGTCTTTGAAAAGATAAGCTCTGTTTCTGTGTTAATTTCCTGATTTTGATGGATGTATTGAGGTTATGAACAAAAATGTCCTTGTGTGTAAACATTACAAAGTAAAATACTTGTAGGGGTTGGGACATCATGTTGACAAGCAATAAATTGTTCAGGAATTCTGAAGCCTTTCAGAATTTCATGGTTACAAGTTCTATAAAATGGTTAAGCTTTTCCATAAGTTTGAGATTGTCTCAAAATAAAAATTAGTATCAAAACTCAAAACTGAGGATGGCTTTTGCAGGCTAGAGCTAGATTAAGAGAGTCTGTGCCAGATTTGACCTCCATCCTCCAATGAGTACTCATGAAAAGGGGGTGCTCTATATCAAGGTTTTTGTCAAATGGCTTAGATTATGAGTCATACAGTCCCTGTTACAACAACTAAACTCTGACCTTATGGTATAGATTTAATCAGAAAGGAAGTAGGCTATAAGCCAAAAAAGCTTTGTTTATGGACACGGAAGGGGTGGCCAGATAGCTCAGTGGACTAAAACGCCTGCTTGGGCACAGTACAGTGGCTGGGGTTTGATCTCCAATGTGCTGTGCTGGCCCCACCCCCAGGGCATGCTGAGAGGGTGATTGAGACTGGGCATGGTGGCGCATGCCTGTAATCCTAGCACTTGGGAGGCTGAAAACAGGAGAATCACTATGAATCTGATCTATGTAATGAGACCCTGTAGACCCAGTGGAACCTGTGCTAAATACATTTTTAAAACCCAGCACTTATGGACACTGAAATTAACATTTCATGTAACTTTCATGTATCCTATCTCAAATATTTCCCTACTTCAAGATGGAAAACCTGTCCTGAGGTCATAAGTCATATAAAAAATAGGATTTTCCAGGGACAGTGACACATGCCTGCGATCTCAGCATTCAGAGTCTGAAGTGGGAAGATCAAAAGTTAGAGCCCAGGGTGAGCAAAACTTTGTCTCAAAGTATAAAAGTGGTTAAGGATGTAACCCAGTCCAAAGGCTCTGGGATTCACTCTTCATAGGTGGATTTGACCCACTGGGCCTTCTTTTGCATATTCTTTTATAATTTGAAGTGATTATGTCTCACCATTAAACAGATTATTAGTAAACAATCTATACAACCAAACCCTATAACTTTCAAGGAAGAATTAGAGAATCTGCTATGCAGAGCATACAACACACAGGTGAATGCTGGACTGTGAATAGACTCTGCTTAAGTGGATTAATGACAAATCCTGGTTCTGTTATGAATATTTCTTCTATCAGATGGTACCCAAACCCAATCCCAGTTGTAAATTATCCCATCTTAATACATTAATAAGTTTTAATTCTAATGAATGTGTAGGATCAAGCGAAACTCACAGGCATTAAAAGTAAGTCATTTGTTTCAATTTCCATAAAAATGTTTTTCCTAACTTGGTGTAGCAAAGGTACACAGTTAGTGTTTGTACCATTTTTATGTAACATAACTGCAAATTCTAGAGTGAAATCGATGGATTAGGGACTGTTTTACACAATTCAAATATTTCTGAGGCTAAAAGATTATTAGGAGAAAGATGAACAGTGGAACAGAAAACAATCATTAATTAGAAAAGAAAAATGGAAGGTGGCTAGGACTAATGAACTAGAAGAATGACATTAGCTTCTGGGCATAGAAGCCTAGAAAATCATAGTTTTACTACTAACATGTGGGTTGGTATGAGAGGCAATCTAATTTTAAATATGTATTCAAATAAATCTGATCTTTAACAGTGTTTTACCCACCTGGATTTAAAAATTCAGAACTCCCTTCCAAATGTTCATGGTAACATAAACATTTTGTCTCTTTCCAACACCCTAGCAATACCCTGAAAAGATAATAATGAGCATGCCACTGGAAGAGATACATCACTTTTAGCATCATTTGTTAAATCTGTATGCATAAACACCACTGGGACTTTTTAAACTCCTAATGTTGTCAAAGTTTCTACAAAATCAGAGTTAAGAAAAAACCCAGCAGAATTGTTATTCTATCCAGAGAAAGGGCTGTCCTAACATAAAACGTAACCCACCATATCTTAGACATTGGAAAAACTGAAAGAAAAAATATTGCTCGCTGGGGAAGAGGTAGTGGCTCCGCCTTCGAGTTCAGCAGCCTTCGTAGCAGGAAATAAAAGAGGTTGTAGAGGGAGATGGCACTCAACACCAGCCACAGGACTCTTGAACGAGAGAAACAGGACTAACCAGAACCACACATTACCCACATTGATTGAGAATGATTTATTAAGGTCCAATTAGTAAGCTTTGAGTTTCCAATTGTCCATATCTCCTCCATAAAAATAGACACATCAATAAAAGTTCACCATCTTTTCTTTAGCATCCAGGGTAAAATGCTCTGTGTTCTGTATAAAGAATGTGCAAACATTTTTCTACCAACTGTGTCCCTACATTCTTTGCAGCACGGGCCTCTGACAAGTCCACCCTCTGTGCAAAGCCTAACCACACACTGACTTCCTCCTCCCTAGATGGCCCCTTGCTCAAAATTTCTTTCTCTCCAACATTCTGCTGACCTGCCCAAACCTGCTTCAAGATGCTGTTACTTCCTCAGTGCATGCCTCCGAGCACTGATTCAATCACTATTTCTCTAGACAATACATTGATAGTGCCACCTAATGTGGCAGCAATTCATCTGCGGTAAGTCCTAAAGAACACCTGTGAGCCAGCCACAGACTGACACACTCAACCCCTTTGCCACAGAAGAACCCCAAGCCACGGAACCCATGGATCCTTCATTTACTTGGCCTGTTCAGAAGTCTCTTCTATGTTATAGCTGTAGCTACCAAGAGCTGGATAACCTAAAGAAAAAAAAAATGGAATTGCTAGATATATTAGGGTGTTTTAGTTATTATGACAATTGACTTTTTCTAATTTATTTTATTATATTAAAAAGTCACTCTCAGCTAAAGTAACCACTGCACTTCTTTTGTACAAAGGTAATTTTACTGGCTTTCCTTACAAACGCCACCTACACAGTGCCATAGCAGGAAACCCCTTTTTATAAAAGATAAACGGTTAAGAAGGCATTTCACATTTAAAAAAAAAATCCTTCATGGGAATAGGTTTCTAAGTAAAAAATTAATTATATGGACAAAGATTTATGTACATAAAATTTTGGAAAATGAATAATAGTGAAAATTAGAAATAACCTATTCAATGATATGGGACTGGTTAAATGAATTGAGTTGCATCCATTAAATGGAATATTATATAGCCACTAAAATTATCATTTTGTAAAAAATTTAATGCCATAGGAAAATCTGGCAATTTAAATGAAAAACGAAGACTAACTAAAAACTGTTTATAGTTTAATCCCAATGATGTAAAAAAGTATATAATATACATACAGTTATACATGGGGGAGCTGTTAAAGATAGTTACTCCTAGGTTGTGATATTATTGGCAATCATTTTTTTCTTATTAATACATTTCTGTAATTTTCAAGTTTTCTACAATAAGTATTATTTTATAAAAACACAGGCTATGAAAAACTTTCTCAGATGTACTGGCAATACTAATGTACTTAGGTACTTTAAATTGCAGGAAAACTTACTGTGCTTCATTTTCTATGACCTTTTCAGGGTATGTATCCTTTTGGAAACAAACAGTTTTTCTTTTCTACTTAGTACAACACTTTAATAACAGTGTAATATTGTGAATCCAGCATTGTTTCTTTCAGAGTCTAAATAGGTATCGCTTTTGAAAATTACATTCTTCTGTTTCCTAGAAGATTTAATTTTTTATCTTCATAAGTAAAGCATACCACATACATGTATTACATGCATGTTTTCTAAAAACTTAATTCTAATTTACAGCTTTCCTACATAAGGAACAAATTGAAATTGTGGTAGTTTACGCCTATAGTCTTATCCATCACAGACATACTGGAAGGCATAAACATGTTTATTCAATGAAATATATCCTGAAAAAATAAAAAAAGGGAAGCCTGCATGTAAATGAAGTTGTGGACTCAATTAGTCAGAATGTATTCTCACTTGCAACAAACCACACGAAATCTTTTAAACTCTGATTAATGTAATTTAAATAGATACATTAGAGTCTATTCCTGAATTCCACCCTAGGGACTCCACCTTCTAGTTTCCTAAGGTCTGGGGGTCAGGACGAGGGTTGCCACATAAGCTAATTTTCCATCTATATCAAGTCTCACGGGATCTAGGAACAATACTGCCATTGGTTAGTGTTTAAGTACACAAGTGTCTGTCTCGCCTCCTGCTCCCCACCTTGGCGGGTGGGGCGCGGCTGCTCATCCCTCCGCAGCAGACAGCCGCCTTCTCGTCTTAGTTTCCTTTCTAAACCACAGAGTGGTCATTGCTGTGAACTCCGGCCAGGATGGTGTGGTTGAGGGAGGAGGCCGAGCGGTCGGAGCCTTCTGTGGGGCCGTTGGTGCTCTCGCTGCGCTGGCAGCAGAGGATCTGTCTGAAGGTGGCGCTCATCTCCTTGTCTCGGTAGGAGTAGATGATGGGGTTCATGGCAGAGTTGAACTCAGCGAGGAGGAGGAAGAATTTCTCATAGGCCAGGACGTCGCACTGTGGGCAGCAAACATCCAGCAGCAGCAGGACCAGGCCTGGGGTCCAGCAGATGATAAAGGCACCTGCAGGGCCAGGGAGACAAACCACAGGGAATAAAAAGAGAGAATGAAAATGAAACACGCAGCCATGAAGCGAATGCTGAGCGGGACAGAAACACACACATTGGAAACCAACAGTCAGCACTGCAAGCACAGTATGAAACAATTAGAAAAAATTGGGAGAACATTAACATGTCATCAATTGGGATCCTGCTACACTGGACTATGAGTCAACAATTATGATTATTTTGAGCAAAACACAGTTGGATGCACACCTGAGACATGAAAAACTACATCCAGGGTACACCTCATCTGTCCTAAGGATACAAGGTTGCTTTCAGGCAAAAGATAAGCGCTGATGATAAATGTTTCTAAACGCTTAGTTATGGTAAAGTTTCTGGTTCTGGTTTTCCAGGGCTCACGTCCTCACTTTGCTAGTTCATGAAGTAGATAAACATGGGCAACTTACTTTTATAGAAACCTTATTTTCTCGTCTAAAAAGTAGAGATATTATATCTGCTTCATGAGGTTTGTTGCAAAGATTAAATGAATACTAAGAAAAAGATCGCTCAGGATGTACTAATGATGACAATGATGTTATTACTACCTACCCACTCAGCAGCAGGTAATAATAGTCTGTTCTGAAATAGCAGTTTCTTTCTTTCTTTCTTTCTTTCTTTCTTTCTTTCTTTCTTTCTTTTTTTTTTTTTTTTTTTTTTTTTTTTTTTCTTTCGGAACCAGGGATTGAACTCAGGCCCTTGCACTTGCCAGGGAAGTGCTTATTCCACTGAGCCATCTCCCCAGCCTGAAATAACAGTTTCTTTCTTTTTTTTTTTAACCAGGGATTGAACTCAGGCCCTTGTGCTTGCCAGGGAAGCACTTATTCTACTGAGCCATCTCTTCAGCCCCTGAAATAGCAGCTTCTGACAATAAGATATGCTTTATTTTTATACAACAATCACTTAGTGCTTTACAAATAATACAACCTATAAATAAGAATGGGACATATAAGCTAATAGCCCCATTGTATAGCTGCTGTGACTTTAAATACCTAGCTCATGACAAATCTGGTCCTGGGCAGTGACACACAGGAAACAAAGTGCAGATTCTGTTCTTGGAGACTGGATCCAGAATTCGTGTTCCAGAAAACACTTCTACCTCTCAAAAGTAATCAATCAGATATTGTAAACCAAATTTATGCTTCAGATATCTTACTAATGTAGATCAACTTTGTCCTATTTCTTCTTCTATTACAAGTTGCTAAAATTTTTCTATAACTGCAAGAGAAGTGGACATACAGATTATATTCTAAATCCATCGTAGTTAGTCTTGCCTACCGGTGTGTTACCCTCCTATCCGCTAGGAATCTTCCACTGACAGTAGTGGTGGGTGGACACCTCCATGGCCCATTATACCTCACTTAAGCGGCCTATATAAATCTCAGGCAAATAATTAAGCAGGGATAGAGGGGAGGTTGATAGGTAGTCTCCTGAGTGCGCTTGGGCTGGAGTCCTGGGTCTGGACCGGCTGCAAGGAATGAGTTTCCCAAAAGGTAAACAAATGAGATCCAGTCTCCAAACAGGCCAGTTTTGAATGTGAGCTTTCTTTTCTGAAACTTTTCAGCAGGGAAATGAAAATAAAGTGAAGAGAAAAGTACCCCCAGAAAGCTCTTTGTTCTGCAGCACAAATGCATATTGGTTTTAAACTGCTGTTTGCTTTGAAGGTTGTCCAAGGTGCTTCATTTTCTCATAAATGCAATACCTTAGATTTTCCTTCAAGAAAAAAAGAATATTCCAAATATCAGCAGATAATAGCCAAGGAGCTATCTGAACTTCAATAAAAATGTTAATAAAGCATTTATTTCAAGTCCTTGAATTTCCTTTATTGAAAAATCACTCAGAAAGCTAAACATAAAGGAGAATCAAAGGAATGCCTCTTGGGTTTCAGAAATAATGCATTATTCATTGAGAAGCCAGGAAGGGAATTATTCTCAGGGTGGAAAATGCTTGGATGGAAAATGCATGGTCCCATTATTCATTTACTTGGAAACTAAAAACACACACAGCCCCCTTATGAATAGAAGAGCATTCTTTCAAGTTCCCTTTCTCCTTTCCTTTATCAAAGCTGTAATTGAGCTCAAACTCAGAGCTTGATTAGACACCAGCAACACACAGATGCAGTTTAAATAAAACAATCTTTTTCACCTTCCAGTCATCAGAAAGAAATATTCCATGTTATGACATACTCGGTCAATCTGTTTGACTGGTTCAAAAATTAAGATACAGTCATTTATTGTTTGATTTTTTTTCCCCAATGTTAAAGTTCAAGAAGAGAAAGACCTTTACAGAAAGAGCCATGGTCTCAGAAGGTAGTCATGTTCTCAGGGCCTTACTTTTAGACACAAAAATTTAAAAAGAGCCCTGCTACAGTGGACACAGGAAGTACGTAACACCATAGCTTGATAGGACCTAATACATGTGGACATTCATTGAGGAACCCAGAATCCTCTCTGTTCTCCACAGAAAGAAGAAGCTGTTTTTAGTACTTGGGCCCAGCCACACTATGTTTTGATCTTTAAAACTCAATCAAATAATGTCAGTTACTCACAGTACAGACCTCAGAAATCAACATATGAAACCAACTGCATAGAATTTTCCCCTCTTCTCTCTTCTCTTCCTTTCCACATGGGTGTCAAACACTGAAGGATGAGAATGAACTACAGATGTGAAGCAAGAGGTCTGGAAAATTCCAAAGTACTTAAGTTGCTAAACCATGGTGAATGCATGTTCTGAGACCCAGTTTGATTGAAACAGGAATTTCCTCCTGAGCTTCTCAAAGCACAAATAAATCACAAGCAAGACCCTTTCATAAGAAGTAGCCAACAGTAACTCAATTGTTTTGTAAGACTTGATGTGTGTATCATGGACATTACCAACATGTAGTCTTTAGAGAGTCAGGTAGACACCTGTAAGACACATTGATAAATAAAAAACAAAACAGAAAAAATCCCTCCACCTCAGCCATCTATAAAGGGAAGAATGAATGGCTCCCTGTCTGCCCCATAGGACGTGGTGAGGATCCAACTGAGACACAACTTGCAAAAGCCCTCTTTAAAATGCATACCTACCTGACCAGCACCACCATGAGAGGCACAGGCTCAAGTAGTATGTGAAAGCAGGAATTGGACCAAAAGGACCTGGCAGTCTGAAAAGTTGCGAGAGCATACTATGGTGATCATAAGAATCTTAGGACTTGCAGTTATGTGTGAAGAGGAAAATAAGAAGGTGCCTACAGAGGGAACTCACAAAAGTACAGAAGCTCAGGTCATTTTCAAGATTCTCCGGAGTCAGCTCAAGACCTCCCAAGATGAGGAATAAAATAACGGACTACTCAGAAGAGACAGTGATTTGGTAGTTTATTCCCAGGTCATTTTTAATGTAGTAATCCCTACAGATCAAGGAACAAAACCATGAAATGATATGCAGCAGTATGAAGTAAGAGGAAGCACACAGTTATAATTATTTACTGTAAAGTCAGAAGCAGAGGGGCAGAAGATAAGATATTCAAGGTCACAAAGTCTTGGTACAACTGGCTAACACTGGAAATATTTTCCAGTCTAGCATTTGTTCTCACCCCTGGCCCTACAGACTGTCTAAGAAACAATGACTTTCATTCCGCTGGTCAGAACTTCATTCAAGGTATAACATTAGTGACAGGAGGGATATAGAAAATGATCATGATAAGGAAAAAAAATACCATGTAGTTTAGAATTCCAGAGGAGAAATATTGAGAGCCTACATTAGCACCAGCTTGGGAAAAATGATGGAGGAGGACTAGAAGTGTATTTAGGAGGATGACTCCTTTGATGGAGAGAAAGATGAATCAGGTAACTTCCAGAATTTCAGCTTGAGTGAAGGAAGGATGGTGGTACCTTTCTTTTGAGGGAGGAAACACAGGAGAAAGTGTTGGTTGGTGGTTTGTTAGGGGATGGATAGAGAAGTATGTTGTGTGTATGTTTTGGTCTGAGCTGTCCACAAGACATCAGATGTATATGCCTTAGAGATACCATAGTAGGCTCATGAGCATCTGAGTCCTGGGAAACCGATCTCTTGGTGAACAGAACATCCTACTTAACTTGCCAGGGTCACAGGGAACACGAGGAGGAGGCTACACAAAAGTTGGCGGGCTGCTCTTCCTTGGATAAGCTTTATACCTTTCATATACATCTGTCCAAGCAATCTGGGAAGGCCCAATGCTCACAAAAATGGAGGGCGAGGTGCTGGAATGCAGGTCCAAAAGGCAGGGAAGACAGAGGTTGTTCAGGGCAGCAGGTCACAGCTGCAGGCAGAGATCATGTTACCACACCTTCCCTCAAATCTACACAGTCCATCAGCTGAGTAACGCTTACCATCTGGTCTTACAATCAGTCTTTTTTTTTTTTTTTAATAGAATGACTTTTTCCTAAATAGTTGAACTTTGCTTCTTTTCTTTGCTTACATATGAAATACAAAAGCTAGAGTTGAGGGAGAAAAAAAGGCTCTGCCAGAGAAGATCTCTGGGGAGAGAGCCCAAGATTTTTGATGAAGAAAACAGAAAGCACTTCCAGTCCGGTAGGCAAAATTGTGTTTTTACAAAAAGCTTAATGCTCCCAGACCCTGAAACATATCAAGGTAAATTGATTCTACACCAGCACTGTGCCCTACTTAACCTCCCTTTGGCTTCATTCTTTTTTTTTTTTTTTTTTTTAATGTATTTGGTACAGGGTGTCAGTATGCAGCTCAGACTCATAATGATCCTCCCGTGTTCAGCCTTCCCAGTGCTGAGATTCCAGGTGTGCGCCACCACACTTGGACTCTGTGGGTGGCTCAGTGTGCCCGAGGGTGGGTCCAGTGTAGGCTGTGGTGCCATAGATGGAACCCCAGTCCCTGTGCTTGCCAAAGCAGGTGGTTAGTGCCCTGAGTTAACTCACCAGTCCCTCTTTCTGCTTCTTAAACGATCATTAGTTATCTCAGAAACCTGTGGTG